TTAGAACAGAGGGAGTACATTTCTTCTAAGTCCCAGTTTAGATCCGTATCGATAATTCAAATCGTCTATCTTATCAATTTTGTAATAAAGATCATTCATGTAAAAAATGAGTTTCATCGAAAAATTATAAATTTAAGAAAAAATTATATTTTGTTTGATAAAATGAACGACAAATGTGATTGTAAACTTAAATAATTTATTTTATAAAATAAAATATTTTTCGTTCTTGTATTTATAATTTTACGATGAAACTCATTTTTTGTATGGATGACTTTTATTACGAAATCTACAAAATAGATGGTTCAGATCATCGGTGTGAATTTGAATTTATGGAAAGATGAAGGTATGGAGGGGAGTCTATCCCAATCGTTTTACCTACGAGAAATTATTCAATGATCTTGAGTCACAGTAATGTATTATTTCAAGTGTGTTGTAATTGGTAAAAATAAAATAAAATTTACTAGTTTATATTAAATAATTAAGCAATAACAAAAGCTATGGGCCTATTTTGACAACACGATTAAAAAGTTAATTTTTTAGTTTTTCTAGATTACATCATCTCTCTATTTTTTTTTCATATTTAATTTTTTTTTTTTAAATCAACTTTTAACCTACTTTCCAAAATAGGCCATTGTGATTTGTGATTGGTCAGAAATATATTTGCAGGGTTTATTACACTTTCTACTCTTAAATTATCACCAAATTATCTACTTAATTCTTGAACTATAGATTGAGTCTACAAACAATCCCTAAAATATATAAACTAAAATTTATTTAGTCCCTAAACTATCGATTGAATCTATTGAGTCTTAAATATTTAATTCAAACATATTTAGTTCCTGAAATGATCACAAAAATAAAATATAATTCCATAAGTATTACAAATTAGTAAAAGACCCTACCAATTTAAGATTTTATTTATGAAAAATATTTAAATTTTTATTTTGTCTTTCAAAATCTTTTTCCCACTATTTGTTTAAATAAGTATCAGAGTCTGATTTCTCAGTCCTGTCAATAAAATTATATGAGTATTACACATACTGAAAGAGTAAAATTAAATAATTTAAATAATAACACTTTGTTACAAATTATAATAAAATAAAAATAATACATTAATTAAGTTATAAAAAGAATTTATTTGAAAAACTTACAAACAATTAATAAGAAATTAAAAACAAAGCCCGGTATAATAATAGATAAAGGCAAATAAATAGTCACTATAGAAGATAAGTAAGAAAATACTATAGATATTACCCTTACACTTATAAAACAAAAAATTACTAGAAGAATTGACGCCTACTTTTCATAGACAACATAAAATTTTAAGATTTTTTTTAAAATAAAATTTTAATTAGATAAGATATTTTACTAATTTACAATATTTATGAATTTATATTTTATTTTTGTAATACTTTCAAAAACTAAATAAGTTTAAATTAAATGTTTTAAAAACCTAATAAATTCAATCAATAATAAAACTACATCGACGCAATTGATAATTCAAAAATTAAACAAATAATTTGATAATAATTGAAATGCGTAACCCTATATTTACGTGCTCCTCAATCAGGAAATAATTTTTCTAACTTAACCCCGTCTACTATAATGACGTCCGTGTGGGTTCACCCCATAAATTATTTTAGACTTTTTAATTTTTAATTTTTTTTATTATAATAATAATCTCAAATAAAATTGCTACTAAAGATATTATTAATTTTGAGATACACTATCTCATAATTAAACCTACACATCTACTAGATCATGAATTAGGGTTTATGAGAGTACCCACCCCAATCACCACTCATCCATCTTACTCAAATCCCACTTTCAAAACCTACCCATCCTCAAAACTTTGAAAACCCTTTGGCGGCAATATTCTTACGGTAACAATGGCAACCATTTGATTACCTACATTAAACAGTCAAAATATGAAAATTTCTTAATACATTAAACTGTCAAAATTGTTAACGCTTGCAGAAATTTTTATTTTTTCAAGTTCGGAAATACAGGTCCGAACATTACTTATTTGTTCGGAGAATAAATAAGTAATGTTTAGGGAATGCAAATCTGAACATAAAAATTTCTTAACATTATTGAACGGTCATAATTGTTAAAGCTTGTAGAAGTTTTCATTTTTTCAAGTTCGAGAATATAGGCTCGAACATTACTTATTTGTTCATGAACTCATTCTCGAACATAGATTATTTGTTCGGGAATACAGGTCCAAACATGAAAAATTGTTAACACTTTCAACGGTTAAAATTCTTAACACTTGTAGGAATTTTATATTTTCAAGTGTGGTAGTTTCAGTTTTGAAGAAGCAATGAGAGAGAGGGAGAGAGAGAGAAAGCATGCCAACTGTGACAATGATTAAACCGGCAAAGACGGTATTCTTCTTCTTTATCGTGAGTTTTGAAAAGGATGAGAGTCTTCTTCTTAATAGGTTTTGTTAAGATTTTTTGGAATGAATGTTTTTTTTGGGTGTGGGGATATGCATTTAATGGGTGAAATGTTTAAGGATAATTTTAGTATTATTTATAGGGAGGGAAATTTTTTTTAAACAAATTTTAAAATTTATAAGTGGGGAACCAAAAAATAAAGGGTTCAAAATAATACATGAGTATATCCTTCCGTTTGACAGTCCTGCCCTCCCTTTCTATACCTAAATACAACAAAGGCAGGCAGTTTTTAAGTTATTTTTTATTTATTTTTTTTTATAAAACATACATTAAAAAAAAGTCACTTATCAGACAAACTCTCAGGTTAGCTCTTTTCTCAAATTCATCAGTTTCAAATTTTATTTTTCAATTTTGTTGTTATATGAGTATTCAACATTAAAAATTATATTTAAAAAGAAAAATCTCCAACTTTTAAAAAACTCAAGTCTAATAATATTTATATTTAAATTATTCACATTTTAAATTTAAAAAGTAAATAATTTAAATTTAAATATTATCAGATTATTTTTTTTCTGTTAAAAAAAATCTAATATTTGTTTTCTCTTGGATTGGCTATTTGCCTGGCTACGTGAAATTTAAATTTTTTACATCAATGACAAATTTGTCCACTCAAAACAAGATTTTCATGCAAGTATTTGGTTACTTAGTGAGCATAATGGTGAGACTTTGAATATTTTTATTATCTTCTCATAGTTAATCCTAAAGCAAACGAAAACAAGAAACTAAATCAAGTAGTTATATAATTTTTTTTATACAAAATAATATAGTTATGTGTGATACTTTCATTTGAAGCTCAATCTTAATTTCGTGCAAATTTCACTACAAACTTTAACTTTCTTCCAGACAACAAAATTTAATTTCCTCAGCAGAACTCTCTTTTTCGTGTGCGAGTGTGAAAAGATCATACACATAAATGAATATATTGCTTATTTGGGAAACAAGTTTAAGAAATGTACAAAAAAAATAAAATAAAATGATATAACAATAATGTTATGATGACTAGATTTGAATATCAAAGTCAGAAATAATCTAATATGTCACAAATACACATGTTTAATGGGTCTCGCATCTCATTTCTTGTACCTGAGAAATGAAAAATGAAGTCCGTTCTTCTTTTGTAGAAGGATCATTAATGTTTGGATGGCTCAAAATACTAAAGGCCCATTTCTCACACCATAGTTTGAAAGTCTCAGATTCTAGTAGAAGGTTTTTGAAATCTCATGAAAAATGCAAGGACCTACTATAAGGCAAATTAAATCTACCACTAGGTTAAATCCTATTCAAAATTAGTAAATGCTCACCAAATATATAATCAAAAAATACTATATCACCAAAAAAATTATACAGTATTTACTTCTAGATTATGCCATTAGCAAACTCGTAAATTATATTTATAATCACGAATCTAGTGTTTTTACGTGAAACTATCACAATAAGCCACATCATTCTAGATAATATTCTACTACAATTTTTCTGTTTCAGTTTATATAGCTCTACTCTTTATAAACTGTATAAGAACCCAACACATGCATGTGAATTGCAACTAACCTCAAACTGCATGAACATGAAGACATTTCTGTTCATCATCTTTCTTCACCTCCTTATTTCAACTGTTGTGCTTTGGGCACCAATAGGTGGTTCTTACCATCACTTTTAGTGGGTGCAGACTTGGCCCAACACATTCTGCTTGAATCCTAGTGTGAGATGCAAGAGACCTGTGCCTCAGTACTTCACCTTGCATGGCCTGTGGGCCTGCAGACAGTAATGGGATAACTCTGCAGAGATGCAATAGTAGGAATGTCTCTTCCACTGTATGTCTCTAGCTCTCATGTGCTTAATTTCTCTCTCCTTTTCTTCTTACCAGTGCGACCTAGAAATTTCTTAGACTTCAGGTGCCAGAACACTATTTTGTATCATACATCCAAAAAACTACAGGACCTAAGTGAAATTCTTAAGAGTTTGGAGGGGCCATGTAAAATGTCTTAGGCTTTGGGAGAGCCAAATTAACTATTTTGTATCATAAATACCAAAAAATCTATAAGATTTAAAGAGGAACTTTTAGAATGTGTCCGCCGTTGCTCCCTCCCTACTCCACTCTCTTTGCTTTTGTAATCACCATGAGATCCTATGTCTCCAAAATTTATATCACGTTGTCTCAATGGTACTCTTAACTGCACAAATGTACACTTAACCACATGATTATGTCTCAAGATTTTCATCACATCATGCAAATAAAAGTGTATTGGAAACATAAAGGTACCGTTTGGTAGAGTTTTAGAATTATGATTTGAGAATAGAGTTGTATTTTGAATTTGTGAGTTTTAAAATTATGATTTGAGTGTGGAAAATTTGTTTGGTTATGAGTTTTGAAAACAGTTTTGAATTGAATTTGAAATTTTTGATGTGACATATGATATTTGATTTAAAAACTTACAACTCATGACCAAACACACAGTCCAAAATTCTATACAAAGCTCATAAAAAATTTTAAAAAAATTCCGAAAATATTTTTTATTTAAAATATAAAAATAACAGGTGCCAAAAAAAAAAACGAACATTGTTCCGGTCAACCGGCCGGACGTCCAAGAGGATGATTGGGTAGACATGTTTTCAACAGTGGGTGTGGAATCAATTTTTGAAAACTCTCACCAAACAATACACTCAAACCAAGGGGTGGAATTAAATTTACAAAGCTCTACCAAACAAAGCCAGATTTTGGAGACAAAGGATCCTTGACCTCCCTAAATTTACTTTTTGATTGTTATTCAAGCTACCAATTTTTTGACGAATAGAAAAGAACAAAGGAAAATGACGAGGAATGAAGAAAAAAACTAGATTTGAAAAAGAGAGAGAAACTGTATAGGTATTTAGATTTACTACTTTGGATTAACAGTTCCATGCTTATGGAAGGGCCAAAGGTTTACCAGGCGCTCAAGCACCGCTGCACTTTTGGAGAAGTAGCCGGAGAATCCCTGTGGGATTGATGGTGGCGGAAAGTCTTCTGCTGGCATGGCAAATGGCCGAACCATCTTCTCCATCTTCTCTAACGTCAGATATGACCCTACTTCCTGCAGCCTTTCTGGACCCATTATTGGCAGTGTGTGCTCTTGATGCAATGAAGAAGCTTCACTGCTGTTCTTCTGCAAAATAAATGGAAAAGCAGAGTATAGTTCATGAAACAACCCAAAATCAATTTCTCCTTGACGTAAACTTTGTGGATGCACTCTCGCCTTGATTGGCTGAAACCTTGATTTTCCATTATAAACATGAAAACACTGCCCCTTTTTAGTTGCAGGAATGTCCTATTTCATGAATTTTTCTAATTTGAATTAACTAGTTCAAGATCTGTGATTTTCTAAATTAATTAATTAATATTTGCGTAGCCATAGAACAAAACACATTTTGAATCTCGCAGTTTTCGATAAAGTAACTTGATGTTTTAAAAGAGATGATGAAATAAAATTTCATAAAGAAAGTAAACTGTGTAGACTCTTAAAGCCAAACTTGTACAATTGTCTAATTTGTACATGGGTTAGTCGCAAAATGGTCCAATTCACATTTTTTGAAAAATCAACTGGGCCCCTTAGGTTTGTCATCGAAGTGAATGCCAGTATTTATCAGGAGAAATTACTAAACATCATGATGGCTTAACACAATTTGGGTACACTAGACCTCCTAAACATAAGAAGTTTCCTACTGTCGGTCTGTTTAAAAAGCTCTTTCAAAATTCACCCAATGAAGGAGTTGGTCTGTTTGCTACCAGGGTACATTTCATGGTGACAAACAAACATGGTCCATCGTTCACTTCCTATTATTAAGTAATCTTTTAATTACATAGGAGTATTAATTCATTGAAGATACATTACCTCTAACGGAGACAAATCTGCACCTCGGCTAAAAGTCATCTCCATGCGGAACCTTTGTGGGTCTTCTAAAGCTACCTGCAATTCAATTTGAGAAACTCACTGGTCCGCAAAATACAGTATAATGAAAATTTAACTATTAACAAAGAATCTTTCAGTTTTCAATTAAATAAATTCTGAAGTCCACGAGGATGAGAATTCAATCATACAAGCAAGAATAACCCATAGGTTCTGACAGTTTTTAAGCTCTACGCAAGGTTGTAACTGCAGCCAGTAATATAATTAGGCAGGACTCAGGTTCCATGTAAAGGTCTCAGTGGGATCAATTTAATTCTTTTGCATCGTTTAGACTGCTCTCAGCATATTTGGATGAGAAGCATTTCTTTAACCGTGAAGCAAACTACCACAAGGGCTCGAAGTCCGCCCCTCAATGGATTAATAGCTATCTTACAAATCAAACCCCGTTGGAGAGATGAGCCACCTAACTTGAAGGCCATGCAAAGAATTCACCCCAAGCACTTAGACAAAATGTAGATCAGATGCTAATATTGTGCAAATAGGTAAACCTGTCCTGTTTTAATTCCCCCAAAAAATAAAAAATAATTCCCTAGAAGGATGATAATAATGGGGGGCCAAATATAAAAAGGGTCCCTTGTTAATGAATCTACTCAATGAAACTATATACAAGAAAAAAGTTGTACAATAAAATCCTACCAGCATAAATGCAGTTAAATTAATGCATTAGAAATTGCAGCAAGGCAAACTTCATGTCAGAGAAGATTGTTTCCAAATGGACCCCAACTCTAAAAGCAAAAGGTTTTGGTAGAGAAATATTCAGTGTGTTTGGTTATAGTTTTTTGAATTCAGTTTTCTGGAAATTGAGTTTTTTGTTTTTCGTATTATTTTGTTTTTAGTGAATATTTTTAAAATTTTAAGCAATGGTTTTACTTTTTTAGATGCACCTTACTTAGATATATCTAAATAGTAAAATATTAATATTTAAAAAAAAATTATGAAAAAATATTTTTAAAAATTAATAAATACACAAAAATACGAAAAATGTACTGAATTTTCGTAATTTTTTTATTTATATTTTTGGTATTTAGTAAATTTTGTAAAGATTTTTTTCACAAATATTATACTTTTTAAGTGTAGTTATGTTAAATGTGGCTAAAAATTAAAAAAAAAATTGCTTGAAATATTAAAAACATTCAGTGAAAACAAAAAAATACGAAAAACGAAAAAGTAAAATTTTTTGAAAAAGTGATTTCTGAAAACTGAAACCAAACAGAGTTAATACTATTAAAGTGTGCTTTTCTGGTAGGGAAATATTACTGTTAATGAATGTGTGGATTCGAGGTTGAGGCAGAGAAAGGCGGAGATTATGTGCAAACTAGATATTGAGAAGGCATATGACAATGTTAGCTGAGAGTTTCTGTTAGAACAGGAAATTATATTCACATATTCTAATTTATTTTTATTCCCTGATTGATGTAATGGGCTGTAATGAGATGGCCCATAATTCATGCCTTGTGACACTCTTGTAATTATTCTTTATTCTTAATATAAAAGGGGATAAAGTCTCACTCATTCCCTATCTCTTTCTCTTCTCTAAAACTTTCATGGTATCAGAGCCACAAACCTAAACCCATACACCACCACAAAGCCACCCATCCATTTTGTGTAGACGGAACAACGGCCCTAGCCCAGTCGGCCACTGCCACAAGGCTTCTTAACCTCGTCCCACTCTACCGAAGGCTGCCGAGGGCTTTCCCAACCTAGTTAGCCACTGCCGACAGGCTACCTAGCCTAGTCGGCCACTGGTGTAGGCCGCCCAAGCCTTGCCAACTGCCACTGGCAGTCCCTCTGCCCAGCCGACAGCCCCTATGCCTGTTTTTGGTTTTATCCGACACCCTCTGCTGTGTTGACCCTCTGTTTTTTGACCCTTTGCTGTCTATCGGTTTCTTTCTGATGTGTTGACCAAGTTAAATACAAGCCTCATTTCCTTTTTCTTCTTTTCTTCCAAAAAAAAAAAAAAAGGGTTCATATTGGATTCTTAATTCCTTATACATCCATAGTGACTGTTGTGCTTGTTCTTTTACTCTTATCTTCCGAGTTTGTGATTGGCATTGTGTTTGATGAGTAATTAGTAGAGTCTCCATGGCAGATTTGACTAGTGACTCTACTACCTCTCAGCACTCTCAGGGTGAGAGTTCTATAATTCCTTCTACTATGACTGATAACCTCAACCTTGGCCTTAAAATCACCACCTCCATTCAATGGTCAGAATTACCTAACATGGTTGCAGAGTCTGACTATTTTCTTGAAGATCAGAGGGAAGATAGGATATGTTGATGGGAGGGTACAGGCACCCAGTATCACAGACCTTGGTATGACCAGTGGGAGATCACTAACTCTCTGATAATGGGCTGGTTGATTCATTCTATTGTACTGGAGATTGACGAGGGCTACTTGTCTATGGACATTGCTTAGAATATTTAGGAGGCCATAGCTATTACTTACTCCAGGAAGGGAAACTTCTCCCAAACTTTCAAGTTACAACGCTCCATTGAACGGTCAGTACAAGGTGAGATGACTATCCTCTAATATTTTACCTTCCTTAGCAATGGGTGGAAAAGACTTGATCACCTACAAATTACAAGCCTGTATGTTCCATTGATTCTGTTGGTTACCGGAAGTTTGTGGAGCAAGAGCGGGTCTTCAAGTTCGTGGAAGGCCTGAATGTGGAGTATGATCCCGTTCGGAGCAGAGTTCTAGGCATGGACGTGCTTCTTTCTCTCCAGGAAGCTTTTGCTTATGTGCAGAATGAGGAGAGTCGATGCTCGGCTATGCTTCCTCCTGCCACTACTGAGGTTTCTACACCCCTAGAGATGGCGAACGTGTCCCTCATGGTTCTCGTCCTTCCTCTGAGAAAGATCATCTTTTCTGTGAGTATTGCCATAGACCTCGACACACAAGAGACTTGTTAGAAGCTGCATGGGACTCCTTCTGGTGGCCGAAAAGACCGTCCTAGTACTCGAGGGGGTAGGTCTGGTCAGTCTAGAGGCCAAAGGGCCAATGCTCGGGCACACCTTTCAAACACGGTTAAGCCACCATCTTCATCTCCAGTTGTCTCACCTGCTGCTGATGTTTCGGGATTATTTGTCTCAAATTTTGAGATTGCTCTTCACCACTTGCTAGACCATCAAGCCTCTACTTCCATCACTAGTGCATCCACTTCTTCCTTTGCCAATTCAGGTAACTTAGCTTCCTCCTCCTGTCCATTACTATCTTATACGACTGTGCCATGGATCATTGATTCTGGTGCTTCAGATCATGTGTCTGGTTCCTCTCATTTGTTCTCAGAGTATAACCACTCCTTAGGTAAGGAAAAAGTGCGTATCGCTGATGGTACTATTTCGTTTGTGTCAGGGAAAAGTTTAATTCATGCCACCTCTTCCCTTCTTTTATCCTCTATCCTCCATGTTCCCAATTTTAGCATTAAATCTTTTATCTTTGAGTCGTATTACTCGTGATTTGAATTGTCGTGTGACATTTTTTCTTGATCATTGTCTTTTTCAGGACCTTATCACGAGAAAGAGGATTGATAGTGGTAGAGAGGAACATAGTCTCTACATTCTGGATCAAACAGACAAGCTGGCTCATTCATCTATTCAGTTATCATCCACCAAGGAAGACCTTTGGCTTTGGCATCGTCATTTATGACATCTCTCTTTTTTACTACTAAAGCATTTATTTCCTTCTGTTTTTGAGAAAAATAACGTGTCTGATTTTCAGTATGAGTCTTGTCAACTTGGAAAATAACACAAAGCTTCTTTTGCTCCTTCTATTAATAAAAGTTGAGTTCCATTTTCTTTGATTCATTCTGATGTATGGGGCCCCTCACATTTTGTCTTTAAAGGGTCAAAAATGGTTTATTACTTTCATAGATGACTGTTCTAGAACCACTTGGGTATATCTGATGAAAGATAAGAGTGAGGTGTTTTTTGTCTTTCAAAACTTTCATAAAATGGTTTGCACTCAATTTGGAGCGGTCGTCCAAATTTTGCGTTCTGATAATGGGAGGAAATATATTGACTTTGGTCTTGCCCGTTATTTCACAACTCATGGCATTGTTCATCAAACTTCATGCACTAATACCCCTAACCAAAATGGTGTTGCCAAACGAAAAAATCGTCATCTCATTGATGTGGCCCGTTGTTTATCCTTTGAAACGTGTGTTCCTCGTTCTTATTAGGGAGAAGCGGTTCTCACTGCCGCTTATTTGATTAATTGTCTTCCCACTCAAGTCCTTTAAAAACAAACTCCACTTCAAGTTCTATTCGGGTTGGGTTTTCCATTCCACCTAAGACCTTTGGTTGTGTTTGTTTTGTCCATAATCATTCACCCCACTATGGTAAATTGGATTCTCAGTCTCTTAAGCTTGTTTTTTTGGGTTACTCTGCCACTCAAAAGGGTTATAAGTGTTATCATCCTCCCACTACCAAATGGTTTGTCTCCAGGGATGTTACCTTCTTTGAGTCTCAATCTTACTTTCTCACCTCTCCAGTGTCACAGTCATCTCTTCAGGGGGAGCCTTGGTGTAAAGAGATTCCTGTTCCACTACCACCAGTGGTTGAACAAATAGAGAATGATGAGCCCGCAGTTGTTGTGGAAAAGGAAGCCGGCAAAGTTTATGTCCGAGACAAGGATAGACAGAAAGTCACCCGGGATGCAAGAGACTACTTTCCCTCCTCTACTGCCAACTTCTTCTCCTGATGAGTGTCCAGAGTCATCCCCCTCTCCTGAAAGTCCGAGTAATTCTGATCGCAATGCTCTTACTCCTGAGTTTTCAAATCTTGATGTTCCCATTGCTAATAGGAAGGGGGTTAGGTCATGCACTTAGCATCCTATTACTAATCATGTCTCTTATTCTAATTTGTCTCCCTCATATAAAGCCTTTCTGTCTAAGATTTCTTCTATGAGTCTGCCTAACAATTTTCAAGATGCTCTCTCTATTCCAGAATGGAAACATGCCATAATGGAGGAGATGAGAGCTCTCAGCAAGAATGGCACTTGGGAGTTAGTGAAGTTACCCAGAGGCAAAAATCTAGTTGGGTGTAAGTGGGTGTACACTGTAAAACACAAAACAGATGGTTCCATAAAACGGTAGAAAGCAAGACTGGTTGCTAAGGGCTTCACTCTGACTTATGGGGTAGATTACCAGGATACATTTGCACCGGTTGCTAAGATGAACTCTGTAAGAATACTACTCTCTCTTGCAGCAAATTTGGATTGGCCACTTCATCAATTTGATGAGAAGAATGCCTTCCTTCATGGAAACCTAGAAAAAGAGGTCTATATGGATATTCTTCCTGGTTTTGAGGATGCTAAGTCTAAAGGTAAAGTGTGCAAGCTCCGAAAGTCACTTTATGGGCTAAAGTAGTCTCTTAAGGCTTGGTTTGAAAAGTTTGCTCAAGCTATGCCAACATAAAAGTTCAAGCAAAGTCAAGGTGATCACACCTTATTTGTGAAACACTTCTCATATGGTAAGACCACAGCTCTTATTGTTTAAGTTGATGATATTGTTCTGACAGGGAATGATGTTGAGGAGATCTCTCGATTGAAGGAATACTTAGCCAAGGAGTTTGAAATCAAAGACTTGGGTAATTTGAAGTATTTCTTGGGCATTGAAGTAGCTCAGTTCAAGGATGGCATCTTCATATGTTAGAGGAAGTATGTACTGGACTTGCTACAGGAAACTGGGATGCTTGGAGGTAGACCATGTGATACACCTCTAGAACTGGGCTAGAAACTAAGTGAGGATCAACGGAGAGAGCCAGTGGACAGGGGGAGATACCAACAACTAGTGGGTAAGCTCATATACTTATCTCATTCACGTCCAGACATTACCATTGCCGTGAGTATAGTTAGCCAGTTTATGCATACTCCTAGAACTTTCTACTTAGAGGCAGTTATGAGAATCCTAAGGTACTTGAAGTCTTCTCCCGAAAAGGGTCTCTATTTCTCAAAACATGGACATCTCAGTATAGAGGCATTTACTGATGCAGATTGGGCTGGATCAGTCACTGACAGACGATCAACTTCTGGGTATTGCACATTTGTTGAAGGCAACCTTGTCACATGGCGAAGTAAGAAACATAATATGGTTGGTCGATCTAGTGCTGAGGCAGAATTCAGGACTATGGCTCAGGGTGTATGTGTGTTGCTATGGATTAGACTATTGTTAGGAGATTTGGGGATTCATTAGATCGATTCCATGAGATTGTATTGTGACAACAAGGCGGCGATCAACATAGCTCATAATCCAGTTCAACATGACAGAACCAAGCATGTAGAGATTGATAGGCACTTCATCAAGGAAAAGCTCACTAGTAGCACCATATGTACTCTATTTGTGAAAACTAGGGACCAACTAGCAAATGTTCTCACCAAAGGAATAGGGAGCAAATTGTTGCATAACATTCTCAACAAATTGGGCTTGAGAGATATCTTCGCACCAGCTTGAGGGAGAGTGTTAAAATAGGAAATTATATTCACATATTCTTATTTATTTTTATTCCTTGATTGGTGTAATGGGCTGTAATGAGTTGGCCCGTAATTCATGCCTTATAGCACTCCTGTAATTACGCTTTATTCTTAATATAAAAGAGGATGAGGTCTCATTCATTTCCTATCTCTTTCTCTTCTCAAAAACTTTCAGTTTCTGTTGTATATACTGGAGATGATGGGTTTTGGGGCTAGATGGAGGCCGTGGATACATTTTGAATATCTATTGTGCGGCTGTCTGTGTTGGTCAATGGCTCTCCAGTAGGTTTTTTCCCCACGTATAGAGGCCTACGACAGGGTGATCCCCTGTCCCCGCTGTTGTTTATTCTAGTTATGGAGGCTTTGGGGCGGTTGCTATCAAAGGCAGTTCATAAAGGTCTGTTGCAGGGTTTTGAGGTGGGTTCTGGACCTACTTCTTTGGTCGTATCCCATCTTTTTTATGCGGATGATGCTCTTGTATTTTGCGATGCGGACGCTGGTCAGATTGGACATCTTCGGTGTGTGTTGCTGTGTTTTGAGGCTGTGTCTGGTCTTTGAGTTAATTTCTCAAAGTCTAAATTAATTCCAATAGGTGAGGTGGCTCGACTTCTGGTTTTGGCAGCGATTTTGGAGTGCAAGGTGGCTTCTCTGCCAGTTTCGTATCTTGGTCTACCTTTGGGAGCTTCTTTCAAGGCCCTCAGGGTGTGGGACAGGGTGGTGGAGCGTGTGCAGCAATGGTTGGCAGGGTGGAAGCGACAATATTTATCTAAAGGAGGGAGGGTTACTTTGGGTCAAGAGTGTCTTGTCGAGTATCCCGACTTATTTTATGTCAGTTCATGTGATTCTGGTGGTAATTGCGAAGCGGATTGAGAAGTTGCAGCGGAATTTTTTATGGGGAGATGAGGAGGAGGGTTCTCATTCTCATTTGGTGGCATGGGATCGGGTTTGTCGTCCTAAAGAGAAAGTGGGTTTGGGGGTTCGGCGGTTGGTTATGTTTAATTTGGCGTTGCTGGGTAAGTGGTTATGGCGTTTTGTAGGGGAAAGAGAGCATTTATGGAGGAAGGTGGTTGTGGCAATGTTTGGTCTAGGAAGAGGGGGGTGGGTTTCGGGTAGGGTGGGACAGCCTCATGGTCGTGGTGTCTGGAAAGGAATTTGGTTGGGCTGGGAGGAGTTTTGGCAGAGGCTTCAGCTAAAGGTAGAGTTGGGAGATAGAGTCCGTTTCTGGCGTGATAGGTGGTGTGGGGATACTTCTTTAAAGTAATTGTTCCCTTTGATTTTTGGGATTGCAGAAGATTGTGAGGTTATGGTGGGGGCGGTTCAAACAGGGCAAGGATAGGCGGCGGTTTGGAACATCCGGTTGCGTCGTAAGGTTCAGGATAGAGAGGTGGATCAGTTAGTGGAGCTGTTAGGTATCTTATACGGGTTACAAGCTGGGGGTGCATGGGAAGATTCTATGGTTTGGATCTGTCCAAGTTCTAAGGGGCTTTTTTCTGTGTCTTCGTACTATGGTGTGCTTGTTGTTTATGTTGATGCGGTTTCGTTTCCTTGGAAATGTGTCTGGGTGTCAGGCACGCCATCCAAGGTAGCTTTCTTTGTGTGGACAGCGACCTTAGGACGTATTCTGACGATTGATAATTTGATTCGCCGTGAGCATATATTGGTGAATTGGTGTTGTTTGTGTTGTGGTGATATTGAGTCGGTGGACCATTTGCTTGTTCATTGCTCAGTTACATCACGGCTTTGGATGCTTATCATACCGACTTTTGGTTTGGTGCAACTAGGTTCGGTGTTGGCAGTCTTGCAAAGTTGGGCTGGGGGTAGGGTTGGGAGGAGACGTCGGAAGGCGTGGATGATTGCTTCTCACTGTTTAATGTGGCTTATTTGGTTAGAGCGTAACAGGCATGTATTCCAAGAGGTGTCTCATTCAATTTCTTGGTTGAAGAGGTGGGTGTTTATGGTATTATATAATTGGGTAACGGGGTTGGTTCATTCAGATGTTTTAGCTTATGTAAATTTTGTGGGGGATTCGATAGCTTAGCATTTTTTCCTTGGGGGTATGAATTTTGTATTCTTTATATCATCTCAATGCTTGTCTAATAAATTTGCTTATTCATTAAAAAAAAAAAAAAAACATGTTTCATGATTAAGTGTCTAGCTCTAAATACAATAAGGGGCTTAGTCCAATTAGATAACTCCTTTTTTTTTTCGGTATCTTTTATAATTGAGGGTATTTCCTTACAATTTTAAAAGAAATTACACTCGACTAAGAGTTACTAGAAGATATTATAAAAAAAATGCTTACTTATTACTGATTTGTCCCCCTATTCAGCATAAAATATGTAAAAACTTCAATATAAGGCATAGCTTAATAATATAAACACAATATTCTAATTGAAATTTGGAAGGAACAAAAAAGTAGGACTTTATTGTCACATAAATTGATTATGTACCAACAAGAAGAATTTCAGTAAATTCACCTAGATTTTTTTGTTCTTTCTGTTAATGTAGAAATACCAACCTCGGTGTTCTCAAACATCCTCAACACAATATAACTCATGTAGTCAAGCTCCTTAGTTTTGCATAAACGCTCCAAAGCACTATGGCAAACTAGGCTATCCTCCTCTTCCAGACATTCATCCAAATTACAGTAACGGAGAACATTCATCAAGGAATGAATATGTGACTCCTGTTATTCAAAAAATAAACTGAGTTCAGTATATATAAATCTAAAATAACTGAGCAGAAGATCAGTGGATATGTAAAAACCCGCATAAACACCTCACCAATCTGATAAAAATGAGTGATAAACAGAAGTAATTCTCAGCAAGTTAAAATGACTAGCAAAGCTAAACTGTGTTACATATGAAGAAGTTAATGAGGAAACTTGAATAGGCTTTGGCCTTATCAATAGTATATCTTGTTGGACTAAATACAAGGTTGAAGAAAGGGAAGACATTTTTTGAAATAATGCAGACATGGCTTTCAATGTAAATGATTCACTCCTTGAATATGGATTACTATCTATTTAATGGCCTGATAGCTTCCGCATAGAGATTAATATGGGTCGAACAACTACATATATTGTTGAATGTATAGATGAGAAGAAGAAGAAGAAGAAACGGAACGAGCGAAAGAGAGAAGCTGCTGTATTGTTTATTTGATTCAAAAGAATAGGGTTTCCCCCCTTACACCTATTTATAATAATAAGCATAAGACATAAAAGACCAAACTACCCTAACACTTAACACCCCCCCTTAAGTTGGTGCAAAGATGTCCCTCATGCCCCACTTGCAACAAATGGGGTGAAAGACCTTACTACTAAGACCCTTCGTAAAAACATCCGCCAGTTGATCTTCAGACTTAACAAAAGGCATACATATCACACCCTTATTCAACTTCTCCTTAACGAAATGTCTATCAATCTCAATATGTTTAGTCCGGTCATGTTGAACAGGATTGTGCGCAATACTAATAGCAGCCTTGTTGTCGCAATACAAAGTCATGGGATCTTGGCAAGCAAACCCTATATCACTCAACAAAGAGTGAAGCCACATCAGTTCACATGTTCCAAGTGCCATAGCTCTATATTCAGCTTCAACACTGAATCTGGATACTACCGCCTGCTTCTTACTCGGCCATGTGACTAGATTTCCCCCTACAAAAGCATAGTAACCGGAGGTAGAGCGTCTGTCATCTATAGAGCCTGCCCAATCTGCATCTGTGAATACTTCCAACCTCAAGTCACCATGATTAGAGAACAAAATTCCTTTCCAGGGGCATATTTAAGATATCTCAAAATGCGATAGACTGCATCCAAATGAGTTGCACGAGGATCATACATAAACTGACTCACTATCCCAACTGCATAGGCAATATCTGGCCGAGTATGAGATAGATATATCAGTCTTTTCACAAGTTTTTGGTACCTTTCTTTCTCCACAAGCTCACCAACCCCACTACAAAGATGATGATTAGTCTCAATTGGAGAATCAGCTGGTATGCAACCCAACATGCCCGTTTCCTAAAGAAGATCTAGAATGTACTTCCTCTGAGAAATAAAGATGCTTTTATTAGATCTAGCAACTTCAATCCCAAGAAAGTACCTTAATGGACCAAGGTCTTTGATCTCAAACTCCTTAGCTAACTACATCTTGAGATGAGTCACCTCCTCCTCATCGTTACCTGTCACAACTATGTCATCCACATATACAATAAGCATTGTTACCTTATGTACATTGCGTTTGACAAATAATGTGTGATCTGCATTGCTTTACTTATACCCAAATCCCAGCATTGCCTTTAGGAATCGACCAAACCAGGCTCGAGGAGATTGTTTCAAACCATACAAAGCCTTTTTCAATCTATAAACCTTTCCAATTGTAGTCTGAGACCAAAATCCTAGAGGTACATCCATATATACCTCCTCCTCCAAATCCCCATGACGAAAGGCATTCTTCACATCTAGTTACTGTAAAGGCCATCCCAAATTAGCAGCACACAGAAGAATAACTCGAATGGAATTCATCTTCACTACAGGAGCAAAAGTTTCTTGATAGTCTATACTATATGTCTAAATAAATCCTTTGGCCACTAGTCTTGCTTTATACCATTCAATCGTCCCATCTGCATTGTGCTTAATGGTGAACACCCACTTACATCTGACTGGTTTTTTCCCATTACGAAGAGACACCAACTCCCAAGTGTTGTTCTTACTCAAAGGTTTCATCTCTTCTACCATAGCTACCTTCCACTTAGGATCATTTATAGCTTCTTTCCAACCCTGCGAAATACATACAGAAGAAAGAGACGAAACAAAGGCACAATATGTAGAAGACAACGAACCATATGACACAAATTTAGAAATGGGGTGTTAAGTATAGGCTCTAACCCCCTTTCTAAGAGCAATAGGAAGACTCAAATTATCAACAATAGGGCTATCAACAACTAGTGAAAAAATAGGCTGAGGATTATTACTTGTAGAGTCAGTGGAAACCGGGCATGGAACTGGCATGAGAGATGATGATTGACCGGGTGGCACAAGAGAAGTTTGCTCTTTCTAACGCTGTGAATAAGTCTTAAGATCAACTCTGTCTAAACGACCACCGATATCATTCTCCTTCTCAACAGAACTCTTAGGCTCCCCCTCACCACAATTAATAGCCCGCTGATTAGGAAGGAAAAAAGACAACTCATGTTGATATGATTCATCCGCAATCTCATCCGTAACACTCTCCCCCTGAGGAGATAGCGGAGGACATGGGAAAAAAGACTCAGATTCACGGAAGGTAACATCCATACTAACATCCAGCTTACGAGTGTGAGGGTCATAGCATTTGTAGCCCTTCTGAGTAGCAGAATAACCAAGAAAGACACACCGGACAGCCTTGGGATCAAGCTTCCCACAAGTACGAGGTTGGAGATGAACAAAATAGACATTGCCAAAAACCCGATAAGGAAGGAAAGAAGTGGGATAAGGTACAGGAAGAAACTCAAGAGGAATTTGGAAGTGGAGGACACTAGAGGGCATACGGTTAATAAGGTAAGCTACGGTAAGAACAGCATCCCCCCAAAAAGACTTAGGAACGTTCATGGTAAACAAGAGAGAGCGAGCAACCTCAAGGTGGTGGCCATTCTTGCGTTCAGCAACCCCATTCTATTCAGGAGTGCCAACACAACTAGTTTGATAAAGAATGTCATGCTCCTCGAGGTATGCCCTGAAAGCTCCATCAACATATTCAATCTCATTATCACTCCTAAGAATTTTGATATTAGCATTGAAGAGATTGAATACCATTTTATGAAAACTTTGGAAGCACGAGAAAACCTCATTTTTAGTACGAAGTAAATAAATCCAAGTCACACAGGAATAACAATCAATAAACGTGACAAACCACTAATAACTAGAGGTAGACACTACAAGGGAAGAACCCCACACATCAGTATGAATAAGCATAAAAGGAAAAGTACTTTTATTAATGGAAGGATAACAAGTACGTTTATGCTTAGCAAGCTCACAAGCATTGTAAAAAATATATTGATATAGAGAAAGGAGAGAATAAATTGTATGTATTATTGATTGATATATATTGATGTCTATTACAATGATTCATGATTCCTATATATAGAAGAGGGTGAGTGTGTAGTAGGTAAGGAGTAGGTGAAGTGGAGGTGGTAGTTGTGTAGTGGGTTAGGTTTAGTGGAGTAAGTTTAAGTGGGTGAAGGTTTAGTGGAGTAGGTGAGGTGGTAGTGGTGTAGTGGGTTAGGTTTAGTGGAGTAGGTTTAAGTGGGTGAAGTAGGTGGAGAGTAGGTGGATTTTAACAAGCATCATAAACAAAGTTATTCCTAGGACAATCTTGAACTGAGGAAGGAAAAAGTTTTTCTAAAATACTAAAAGAAGGATGGCCCAAACGACGATGCCACTGAAGAAGCAGACGTAGAGAGGAGCCGGAAGTGGATTGAAGAGACTGAGAGGACAAAGTTGATCGAGGAGGAACGACATCCAGAAAGTACAGACTGCCTTGTGCTCTACCACTACCAATCATTGTCCCCGTAGCCAGTTCCTAAAAGACACAATGAGTCGGAAAAAAGGTTACAGAGCAATTGAGAGCAGTTGTAATGCTACTAACAGAAAGTAAGTTAGTGGAAAAATTAGGAACATGAAGAACAAATGAAAGAGAAAGCAAAGAGGTGCAGTGAACGGAACCCTTGCCGGAGATAGAGGATAAAGTGCCATCAACCACTCTAACCTTATCTTGCCCAGAACCAGGGAAATAAGAATGGAAAAAACTAGAAGTACCCATCATGTGATCTGTAGCACCGGAATCAATGATCTAAGGAGACGACGAAGAGGTACTAAATGCACCAGCAACAATACCTGTGTGGGCAAAGTTGGAAGAGGCAGAAGAGAAAGGAGCTAAGATAGATGAAGAATCAAGGCGAGCCATCAAATGTCTGAGAGTGTGAAGCTAATCCTGGGAAAGAGAACTAGTGTCACCCAAGGCACTAGCAGTAGTCTCCGATATATGTGCTTGAGGACGAACACCACGACCACGACCACGACCACAGCCACGGCCTCGGCCTCGAGTAGGCCGACCATGTAACTTCCAACAGTGCTCTTTATCATGTCTATCTTTCCCACAATAATCACACTTCAACCGGTCCCGATCAACCAAGGGCCCCATTCCACCACCCTGAGACTGACTAGGCTGAGTAGCACGTGACTTTGGGGCTGCAACCATCGCTGACTAATCCTGAGTAGAGACATGTACCATAGCACTACGACTCCTCTCCTCCTACTGAACCAATGCATAAGCCTCGCGCAGTGCGGGAAACGGAGAGTGACCCAATACCTGAACCCGTAACTGATCATACTCCAAAGTCAGGCCAACAAGAAAGTCATACACCCGCTCTTTTTTCACAACTTGCTGAAACATAGCGGCATCCGTGGAGCAAACTGGCTGGAAACTCTGGTAGTAATCTAGCTCTTGCCATAAACCACTCAATCCGCATAGTAGACTGCAAGAGAGCGATCCTTCTAATCCAAGCCCCTAATCTTCTTTCTCAATTCATAGGCCCGTGCATCATTACCCTTTTGAGAATACATCTGAGAGGCGGCTATCCAAATTTGGTGAGCAATATCCATCAAGAGAAAAGTCCAACTAATAGGAGGCTCCATAGAACTGATTAGCTAGGTCATAACGAAAGCATTCTCAAAAATCCATTGAGCAGATAAAGCACTATCCGCAGTATGTTGCTGGGTACTACCAGTAATATAGGCAGTCAAACGCCGAGCGGCAATAGCAAGACTACAGGAACGGGACCAAATCAAGTAATTAAGACCATTAAGCTTGACCAGACTAATCTGGAGAGAAGGACTATCACCAAGAGTCAAACCACGACTCAGTCCACTCTCCTCCTTGCCCTTAGAGTCCTGACCCAAGCTGTCAACCATGACATGAGAAAAAGAGGGTGAAGAAACACAAGCCGGATACCATACAAGTCCAGAAACCACCCAACCAGCACAACAAATCACCTTCTAAGGCTAAAATAGTCCACGATAAGCCTAGAACAGAGCAACCAGATCGGCTACAAGTCAGAAAACTGAAGCATAGCATCTAAACAGCAATAAAAAGCCAAGGTAGGGCCAAAATACATCAAACCAGGGACAACAAACCCCTCTAGGGTGCTAGTCGGCTCCCTAGGATAGGAGGAGGGACAAAACCAACAAACAAAGATTCAAACAGTCACTTATAAAAATCACCCAGTTTTGACGAAAAAACAAAAAAATTGAAAAACTCAATCAATAATGACCAAACAATCAAAAGGAGATTATAGGGTGATTACCCATTAAATTTCAAGCATACTGGTTTTTTTTTTTTTTTTTTTTTTTTCATTTTGTTTTTTTTTTTTTTTTTTTGTAAAACAGACGTGCTAGTATACAAGAACAGGAAGGAGACTGAGAGGAACAACCTTCAAGGAGGAAGATATTGCTCCGATACCATGTTGAATGTATAGATGAGAAGAAGAAGAACGAGAGAAAGAGAGAAGCTGCTGTATTGTTTATTTTATTCAAAAGAATAGGGTTTCCCTCTTACACCTATTTATAATAATAAGCATAAGACACAAAGACCAAACTACCCTAACACTTAACATATATAGGACAGGAAAACTGACCATTTAATGAGATTTCAAATTCTGTGCATTTAGTCAGCGGCCAATTCTGGTAACAGAAATCTATGGGTGTGTTTGGTACTTTTTAAAACTGTTTCCTGCTCTCAGAAACAGAGAAAAATAGAAACTAATATGGAAAACTTGTTTGGGAAAGCCATTTTTAGGAAAGACTTTTAAGTTGTTTCTGACTTTTCAATACTGTTTTCACACAAATAAAAATGATGGGTGATTTTTAATTTTTTTTTTATTGTTTTTGTTTATAAAAACACCAAAAATGAAAACATTGAAAATAAAAACGATACCAAACAGACCCTTCTTTTCTTTAAAGTTCTTGTTCATACTCAGCCAAAAGTTGAGAAAATGAGATATCCCTCTTGAATAAGCCATTTGAATTTCAAGAAAAAACTTGTCTTACTCATGTTCTTATTGGTATGCTTTGATTAACTAAAAAGATTCCCTCAGTGATGCTTCCAGATAATTTTGTGAAGGAATAATGACATTATATGCATTGACATTCTCTCTCTCTCAGAAGATATTAAATTATGACATAATTCACATATATTTAATCAACTGTAGTTCTGTCTCATTAAATAGGTATGTAGTAGATTATTTCTTATTACGTGACTTATATATTGTATTAAATTATCTACAACCTCAGGTTCATAGGGAAAAAGGGACAAATTTTAGTGGGTCATATTACATTCTATCCAACTGAAACTAGGAACCCCTATATATATAGAGAGAGAGAGAGAGGGGGGAAACAGCATCAATTGGAGGGGGTTGGGGGGTGTTTAATGACAAGATGATTAGCTACTTTTACTCACCGATGTGAAATAAAGGCGTGTCCGCACATGTCGTTCTGGTGTTTTTACATTGGCGTACCTAACAGACACAAACCAGGAAATAGAGGTATAATTAATAAGACAAGTGTATTCCATAGAATGTGTATAAGAATTCCTTTCAGTTTCTTTATTTCATATAATATGTATCCCATATTCTAATTTCTAAAGAAAAATTAATCTATCAACTGTGTGTGTGTCTACTTGGGTATAATGAATCAAAAGGTTCAAATATTCACTTTGGATCCAAGCGGTATTTGGTTTCTTTCTCATCGTCATCATCCTGATCCATTGAGATATCACTGGTGAAACTCGCTCTTCTGCCATCTTCATTCTTACTGTGAGGCTTCAATTGGTACTCTACTTCTTCTTTTCCAGTTTTAGTGGATTGATCTTGACTACTCTTCAATTCAGCAACACTGATTGCTTCTTCACGAGTATTCCTCAGATCAATTAAAATTTTACCCAGCAAGCGACGAGCAATCTAAACAGCCACAAGTTAAGTGTTACAGTAATACGTAATTGTATCAATAATCATTCACAGCTGCTGATGTGTTCTTCTATAACATTGAAGCAGCATAAAATATAAATGACCAGGAAGCAATGCACGCTGAAATTACAATGTAAAAGGATAAAGCCAAACCAAACCAAACCAAGCCTTGAGTCCCATCTACAATGTAAAAGGATCTACAGAATTAAAACTAGAAATCATGTTTAATGTTAATGTAAATTGTAAATAATAAATCACCACTCCACCTACCACCTCCACTTCACTCCACCTACCACCTACACCTACTACCACATTTTCTTCTATATATATGATCATTGTAAACATAATCAATACAATCAATCAATCAATAAAAGAGATACACAATTTCTCTCTACAATTTATTCTCTTTTTATCAATTTATCTTCTATCAATTTATCTTACATGGTATCAGAGCAAGGTTAACACCTTAGTACTTCCGCTTCACCGGCGGGCGGCAGCCTCGCCTTGGCCGCCCGCTGGACCTCTACACATACCTTCTTTATACCTTCGTTGGCATCATCCCTTCCGACCCTCTGCATCTTCTTCTTACATTCCTCTTGCTTGTCTCCCTCCAGCTTGGGTGTCAACAACTTGATGTACTTCTTTATATATGCAACGAACAGCTTCTTATCAAAAGGAGGTCCTGAAACAGGAGAGTAAATATCACTAGTGGCCTTAACACTTTCAACTGCACCAAAACTGCCACCCTGGGTTACAGCAACCCCGACTTCCGGTAATTCAACATACACAACATCGCCCAAGTGATCCTGAGCATGGTCAGTTATGCCTACAGTTGCAGATTTACCGTCGACTTTCACCCATTCATGAGAGTTGGCATACTTAAAGTCCTTCACAACAGAAGCAAATCCTCTGTTGAAGACTGAGATCCTGAGCTGTGAAGCAACCCTTGAAGCCCACAATCTTGAAGCCATTGTTAACCAAGTTTACAGACCATAGCAGAACACACGGCAAACCCAGCCACCTTTCTCACTCACTCCATGTACATACCATACACAGCAGCAGCCCAGCATAACCAACACAGTCACCCTCATCTTCACCACCACCTTCGGCAGACGTGTTAGCACCAATGTCTACACACCTTCGCGGATTTCATCTTCGGATCTGCGGTCTCTCCTTCGCTCGCCGTCGGTTGCATCGCCACCTTCGCGGCTTTCATCTTCGGATCTACGCTGAAGATTTGAAGATCTCTCTCTTCGATGAGAATCATCCATAGATTTCAAGCTCTTCAATTAACCCAGTTCCCTCGTTCACTATCCCATACACCCACATTCTTGTTTTTTTTTTTAATCAATCCACTATCTCTCTCTCTCTGGTCCCTTTTTAATCAGACCTATACACATGGTCCCTTTTTTTTTTTTATTATTATTATTATTTTTTTTTTAAACCACTCTTCCTCTCTGCACCCACTCATCAAAACCTCTTTAATATATTCCACCGCTTGCACATCCTCCCCCATAAATATTCTCTGTTTTCTTTCTCTATTTTATTGTATCTCTTCCCATTTTTTATTCAAAACAAAAAAAAAAAAAAAAAAAAAACAGCAGACGAAGAAAGACTGCTACCACACTCATTTTATTATATTGGGGCTCACCCCGATCACCATTTTACAACACACACAAAAAAAAAAAAAAAAAAAACAACAAACCAAAACAAAACACCCACACCCACAGTGGGATTTTTCTTCTCTACTCTACTGCAGGTCTCTTCTTTTTGCCTCCGTCCTGGGCGGCTCTTGCCGGGTGTTGCCTCCGTGTTTCCCACTCCACTGGCACGATCACTACCCCTGCTCCTCCCTGAACATAGGCGGCCTCCAAATCGGAACATCACGGTGGCCTTCCGCTTCAGCTCCTTGTTTTCTGCCCTTAGCACGCTTATCTCTGCTGCGCATCCTTATACATGCGTTGGAGCAAGCCAGCTGGGAGTTTAATTGCTGCACCTCATTTGTCCTCTCTGCAGTCGGTGCGACAAGTTTGTGACCGCCGTCATGCTTTCCACACATGCCTTCAGAGTATACTGATTGGCCTCAATATCAGTTTGCATCGCCATTTTTTGCTCCACCGACTGCATCGGAAAGTTCAACGGAGCAAACCCAGTGGTGTTTGGTTGAGGTTCACGGGACACCGCACCCGTTATCTCTCTTGTTGACTCGTTGAGGTCGGGAAAGAGAGTCAGCAGACCATGGGAAGACGAGGCCATTTTCTGGGCAACCAAGTGTTACAGAATATCTCTCGCAACAGAGTGTTACAGACACTCTCTCTCAGCACAACGAAGAGTTTTTCAGAGTTTTTTTTTTAGCCGGTTTTCTGCCTCAGCCTCAGCCTCAGCCTCCGCTTCGATTTATAAAGACCTTGACGCCGAGGCAGCCACGCGCATCGCGCGCCTCTTGACGCCAGACACACGGGCATGCCAGCCAAGGCCCTCACGTGCCTCGCCATCATATTTGGCACGCCTTTTAATGCATCGGGCACGCCTTTTGATGGCACGCCTTTTGACAGATTGGGCACACCTTTTGAGGGCACGACTTTTGAAGGCTCGATATCTACATCCATGTATATTTTTTGGGCAGCCTGTATCCACACTCATACAGTGTCTTCTACACCGGTCAGCTTTCTCAATCCCTTTTCAACCTCAAATAGGTTTCTATCTTCACACCTATTTGAGTTTGAGGGGGGGTTATACACAGTATCATGTATAAGTCGCTCATGGCGCACTCCCTAAGTCGCCCCCTTGGTGCACCACCACAACCTCTGCTACATCAGGTCCGACATGACCCCGTAAACTGTCTTCTACACCGGTCCGACATGACCCCGTAAACTGTCTTCTACATCGGTCCGACATGACCCCGTAATGAAGATAGTCGCCTAAAAAGGAAGATTATGGGCACAACACGCGGCAATTCCAAAGGAAAAGGAAGTTTTTAGTAGTTGCAGCAATTATGGATCATGGGCAAATTGAAGACATTAGAAGATGCACACGTGGCTGTTTAACATGGCCAGTGAAGCAACATAAACCTGGAAATCCAAAGAAAGAAGGATCTTTAACCAAATTCACAAACACTTGTGAGATTTAGGAGTAACTGAACTTATCATAGAAGTAGTTCTTGTAATTAGGAGTAGTAGCAATTTCAATTCTTGTAACTCATTTTGGACATGTGGATTGTAAAGTTATGATGCTTGTAAACAAGTTTAGGTGATATTAATCGTATTTTCAAATTGTTTATTTCTGTTTATTCACATTACAAATTTCAAAGAAATCCTTAAATCTGTCAAGGTATAAGACATCAAGAGTGTTAATGTAAATTGTAAATAATAAATCACCACTCCACCTACCACCTCCACTACCACCCACTCCACCTACCACCTCCACTTCACTCCACCTACCACCTACACCTACTACCACATTTTCTTCTATATATATGATCATTGTAAACATAATCAATACAATCAATCAATCAATAAAAGAGATACACAATTTCTCTCTACAATTTATTCTCTTTTTATCAATTTATCTTCTATCAATTTATCTTACATTTAATTAGGGAAGCATGCAGGGTAAACCATGTTAAAGAATTAAGAGATGCTAGGTACATAGTGACAAAATCAATAATTGCATGTCAGACACAATGCTGAGTGTCCATGGTAACATCCACAAATGTATCTGACTGACCCTCATATTTACCAAGTCATGCCTAATAAATGCATTTCTTATTCAAAAAATTCTAAATTTCCATTTAGGCACTCATGACACCCATCTTTCTATGTAAGGATATTGCAAATATTAAGCATACAGTGCAGTCCTAATATTGCAAGAAACCAAGTGTTCACATGTTACAATGGATTTATGGTTATACAGAATATGACATTAAGTAAAAGAATAGTTTCTTTCAATAAATTAAAACCTATTAGTCACTACGAGAACTAGAAAATGAGACAACAGTATTCATAATTGCATAATAAAAAGTGAAATGGAATGGAATGCTACAAGAGGGATTCTACCTTTGAGCCAATTTTAAGTTTCTGCTTTGGATTGATCCCGTATTCATTAGGGATTACACCATCTGCAAGTAACTGAAATAACAAGGAAGAGCATTCAGGCTAACTGCCATGATAATATGGTGTGACATGACAATTCAGAGAGTATCCTCATAGCGATGTTTAAACTTGGGGATCATTATCTCTACAACATGATTCTTGCAGTCCGGAGATATGATTAAACAGAGTTACTACTGAAAGACTGCAGAAGCCTCAGTCATTTTAATAAAAAAGGAGAAAAATGGCCGTTTGGCAAAGCTTTTAAGTATAAATATTTGGATTATAGCTTTAAAAAATCTGGTGGAAGGTGTTTGACACAACTTATTGCGGTAAACTTATATAGCTTAATCAACTTACTTTTCTAGCTTAACTTTTTTAGCTTTTGGACGTTAGACCAAAAAGTGTTATTCTCACAGTGGATTTGTGTGTGTGTGTGTGTGTAAATTAAAGGACTAAATAAAATAAACAACAAAATAAAAATAAATAATTCAGAAAATAATTTAATAAATTAAATTCTAAATTAAATGCTTACAGAAACTTTAAATGTCAAGGCTTGTGTTAGACACAATCTTCTTAAAGTAGATTTTGCTCTCGCTCCGGTGCTCCGAGATTTATTGGCGTCTACTTCTCAGGATACAACGACTACTACTTGGTTTGCAGCGCTACAAACTTAAGTCTGGCGAACCAAAACTATGTTGTAACTTTTTTTTTTGTCTTCCTAAAAATAAATGCAGAACAAATGTAGAAAACAGGAAGATGGAAAAGGAAGAAGAAAGATGTAAGAATTTATGTATTATTGATTTATTTTTATTGATATCAATTACAATGATTCATGATTCCTATATATAGAAGAGGGTGAGTATGTAGTAGGTAAGGAGTAGGTGAAGTGGAGGTGATAGTGGTGTAGTGGGTTAGGTTTAGTGGAGTAGGCGAGGTGGTAGTGGTGTAGTGGGTTAGGTTTAGTGGAGTAGGTTTAAGTGGGTGAATGTAGTGGGTTAGGTTTAGTGGAGTAGGCGAGGTGGTAGTGGTGTAGTGGGTTAGGTTTAGTGGAGTAGGCGAGGTGGTAGTGGTGTAGTGGGTTAGGTTTAGTGGAGTAGGCGAGGTGGTAGTGGTGTAGTGGGTTAGGTTTAGTGGAGTAGGCGAGGTGGTAGTGGTGTAGTGGGTTAGGTTTAGTGGAGTAGGCGAGGTGGTAGTGGTGTAGTGGGTTAGGTTTAGTGGAGTAGGCGAGGTGGTAGTGGTGTAGTGGGTTAGGTTTAGTGGAGTAGGCGAGGTGGTAGTGGTGTAGTGGGTTAGGTTTAGTGGAGTAGGCGAGGTGGTAGTGGTGTAGTGGGTTAGGTTTAGTGGAGTAGGCGAGGTGGTAGTGGTGTAGTGGGTTAGGTTTAGTGGAGTAGGCGAGGTGGTAGTGGTGTAGTGGGTTAGGTTTAGTGGAGTAGGCGAGGTGGTAGTGGTGTAGTGGGTTAGGTTTAGTGGAGTAGGCGAGGTGGTAGTGGTGTAGTGGGTTAGGTTTAGTGGAGTAGGCGAGGGCCCAATCTTTCAAAAGGCGTGCCATCAAAAGGCGTGCCCAAGTCATAAAAAGATGTGCCGGACATGATGGCGAGGCACGTGAGCGCCTTGGCTTGCGCGCCCGTTTTGTCGTCTGTCGGCAAGTGGCGCGCGATGCGCGGATCGGCCCTGGCTATTTAAACCAAGGTTGAGGCGGAGGCTGTGCATACCAGTCTGAAACCTCTGAAACCAACCCTTCTCTGAAAAAAAAACTCTGCCTCTTCGGAGAGAGAAACTTTGGAACACTTTGTAGCCCAGAAACCAACTGTAACATCGGAAACACTCTGTAACAACCCTTTCGGACATTATCCGTCTGAAATCGCTACTTCGCTGAAACACTTAGCAACCCAAAACATGGCCTCTTCTTCCCGTCCAGCTACCCAGAACATGGCCTCCTCTTCCCGTGGTCTGCTCACGCTCTTTCCAGAACTGAACGAGTCCACAAGAGAAATAACTGGTGCGGTGGCCAGTGAACCTCAACCAAACACCTCTGGTTTTGCTCCGTTGAACTTTCCGATGCGGTCGGTGGAGCAAAAAATGGCGGTGCAAACGGATATTGAGGCCAATCAGTATACTCTGAAGTCATGTGTGGAAACCATGACTGCGGTCACAAACTTGTCGCACCAGCTGCAGAGCAGGACAAATGAGGTGCAACAGTTAAACTCCCAGCTGGCTCTGCTCCAATGCATGTATAAGAATGCGCGAGCAGAGATAAGTGTGCTAAAGGCAGAAAACAAGGAGCTGAAGCGGAAGGCCACCGTGATGTTCCGATTTGGAGGTCCACCATATGCTGTAGTGGAAGAGTATGGGGGAGTGAACGTGCTCGGCGGCGTGGAAAACACGGAGGCAGCACCGTCAAGGGCCGCCCAGGACGGAGGCAAAAAGAAAAGACCGGCGGCAGAGTAGAGAAGAAGTGAGGGCGATGTGTGGCCGCTGCAGAAAAGAAAACAAATCTTTTGTTTTTTTTTTTTTTTTTTGTGTAGAAATGTGATCGGGGTTAATTCCCTGTCATGAATAAAACGATGTGTGGTTTGTTTGTGTTTATGATTTTTATTTTTTTTTTTCTTTTTTTTTTTTTTTTTTTTTTTTTAAGAAAAAAAAAAAAAAAAAAAAAAAAAAAAAAAAAAAAAAAAAGAGAAGAAGAAGAAGAAGAAGAAGAAGAAAAGAGAATAATAATAATAATAATAATAATAATAATAATAATAATAATAATAATAATAATAATAATAATAATAATAATAATAATAATAATAATAATAATAATAATAATAATAATAATAATAATAATATGTTTAAAAAGTGGGGCGGTGGAAAGAAATATATATATATAAGATAAAGAGGGTTTGGGCGGTGGAGAATATGAAGATGGTTTTGAGTGGAGGATATTTTAGAATAGAAAAGGTTATATAATATATTTCTCTCTCCAATGTTCCCAAAAGCTGTCCGAGCATGCTCTGTCATATTCAAACTTATCTCGAATCTGGTTAACCTTTTCTCTGGTATCATCTTGTATATTTCTTCCCATACCTTGGCCCTTCATTTTCTCAGCATGGGGTCGCCTTATCTGGTATGGTGAAAAAATCTTGATCATCATCTTTTGCACCATGGCTCATGCTCCGATTTTTGGAGACCGAGACGAGTGCGGCAAGGGAGAACAGAGCGAGAGGACGACATCGGCGACGATGGAGGGACTGCGACCATCGGCGGCGATCGCGATGGCGTGTGTATCGACTGTACCGGATCAGAGGCCATCGATCCCTGAGAAACTGAAAGTTGAATATTCATTGTATAAGGTCTTTGCATGTTGCCAAGCTTCATCAGGTCCATCAAAAAATAAGTAATAGTGTATTGTCAGCATATCTGCCAAATCCTTCATTCGTTGCGTTGGATCAAAGACACTTCGGACAAACGCTCCCAAGTCCTCATACTTTGTAACAAATGGGCGTGAAAGCAGCTGTTCTGCTGTTGGCCTAGCATCTGCATCCTTCTGCAGGCAAGCATCAATAAATGAGCAGAACTCAGCAGCAATACGGTCTGCCTTGAATGATGTAGCTTCTTCTAGTGGGAAAAACTCTCAGCAGTCTGGCGGCTGGACATCATCCGACGACAGGGATTTTTTGAAGGAGAACCAAAACAGTGTGATGGGTTTACTTTTAGGAAGGCGATCTTGATTGGATGGACAGAGATGGGTTTGGCAGAGGTGAGGGGAGTGATGGAAGAACTATCAAAAGTGTATAAAGGGAATGCATACAAGCTGATTACTAAGAACTGCAACCATTTCTGCAATGATGCTTGTAGCAGATATTGGAATTTGTGGTAGCGGATGGAATTTGTGGCAGCGGAGTGAAGGTATGTGTAGAAAATTCTAGCGGACTAGGTTGAGGTCCGGCGGACGGCTAAGGTGAGGTTGCCGCCCGCCGGGGAAGCAAAAATATTAGGTTTTAAACCTGCTCTGATACCATGTAAGAATTTATGTATTATTGATTTATTTTTATTGATATCAATTACAATGATTCATGATTCCTATATATAGAAGAGGGTGAGTGTGTAGTAGGTAAGGAGTAGGTGAAGTGGAGGTGATAGTGGTGTAGTGGGTTAGGTTTAGTGGAGTAGGTGAGGTGGTAGTGGTGTAGTGGGTTAGGTTTAGTGGAGTAGGTTTAAGTGGGTGAAGTAGGTAGAGAGTAGGTGGATTTTAACAAAAGACGATATGCTCAAGGAAAAATTCGATGCCCAGAATTGTTGGAATGGCAGGGTATATATAGGAGAATAGGTGGCTGTTCCGAACAGGTGCCAACAAATAGGAAACCTGTTCGGACAGATTCAACAAGTAGAAAACCTGTTTGGACAGTTTTGAACAGAAATAGATCTGTTCGGGTGGAATTTCAACCTATTCGGGTGGATTCTAACCTGTTAAGGTGGAAGGAAAAATTTGGACCAATTTATTTTGAATTTTGAAACCAAAATTAAAAAATAAAGAAATAAAATACAAATGTTTTTGGCCCAAAAGGGTAAGTCTTTACCCATAACCTCACCCTTCCACAAACTTGAGTACCCTTTGGGGCCCATCCCAAGTGTCCCAAGCTAAAGTTTATATACTCATATAAATCCTTAAGCCTTTCCAATGTGGGACAAGCACATTTCACAAATGTGTAGGAAACTCACCTAAAGCCATATCTACAAACCCGAAAATGCACGTTGAATTCTCATTTATCCGGAAATAATTTTGAGCAGCCAAATACACGATGTTATTCACTACGCGACATTAAACATGAACCCAATTAGAAACGTTAAAAATAACACGCTTGGGTCCTACCTTAATTAATGCGCAAAGTTAGCAAAAAATAAGGTTTTACAAAGTCATTTTCCAACAATCCCCCACATGAATGAAATTCATGATAACGGACATGCAACAAGATACAGACAAAGAAAGAGTACATTAAGAAGATACACCACATCGAGATAGGTAGCTTTTGGTTTTGAACCTCCTCTAGTGA